TTGTGTCTGTCTCTTTCATTTTCTCAATCCCCCGTCTCCCCTACTCAGGACTCCTGTCCATTCTCTAGCCGTGCTAGTCGCGGAAAAGAGAGAAATATTTATAAATGAGTATAAAACATTTTAAATAAAATTACTTGAATAAAATTGGCTTTAAAAAAGGTTTTTCATTGAAATGTAGTTACATCTTACCTAATATTTCAATAAAAATAAAACTATCTGCCATTCTAGTATTCAGCGTCATCTAGGTGCCAAGGTAAAGAGTTGCTCCATGACACAGGTTATGTGTGGACCTGCATTTACATAAATCGATGAGTAAAATGCATTTTGTTTGCATCACCAGGTGTTCCTTATCATCCTGAATTTCCCACCAATTCACCAGCATCTCCAGGCCCCTGAACTGGAGGGAACAGACAGAGGATGTGTGTTTAGAACGAATGGGAAGTGACATTTTGTGGTGCAAGACCTGGTGCACTCAGGCAGCAGGGGAGGCTCTGCCGGGATCATCCCTGGTGCTCCTGCCGCTCGCTCCTCCCCTTGGAAGCAGTGTCCGCTCCCTCGCGATGTGGCAGCAGCACAGCCACAGCCTCCCTGGCACTTTGATGCGGTAGTTTTTTGTCCCCAGGACACAGGACAAGAAACAGGGGGCTGTGTTTCACGGGGGCCTGGAGGTGCTAGTTATGAGAGGGGATGTTCAAGGTTGGGGATAGGACTGCCCCAGTCAGTGCCGAATGCCAGCGAGGGACAGAGGCACTCACAGGCCTTGCAGAAAAGTTAATGTGTGTGTAGATGGATATGTGTGTTTGGATGTGTGTGTCTGTGTGTGTATGGATGTGTGTATGTATAGATGTGTCTGTGTGAGTATGGGTGGCGTGTCTGTGTGTGTGTATGGGTGGCGTGTGTGTGTGTATGGGTGGCGTGTCTGTGTGTGTGTATGGGTGGCGTGTCTGTGTGTGTGTATGGGTGGCGTGTCTGTGTGTGTGTATGGGTGGCGTGTCTGTGTGTGTGTATGGGTGGCGTGTCTGTGTGTGTGTATGGGTGGCGTGTCTGTGTGTGTGTATGGGTGGCGTGTCTGTGTGTGTGTATGGGTGGCGTGTCTGTGTGTGTGTATGGGTGGCGTGTCTGTGTGTGTGTATGGGTGGCGTGTCTGTGTGTGTGTATGGGTGGCGTGTCTGTGTGTGTGTATGGGTGGCGTGTCTGTGTGTGTGTATGGGTGGCGTGTCTGTGTGTGTGTATGGGTGGCGTGTCTGTGTGTGTGTATGGGTGGCGTGTCTGTGTGTGTGTATGGGTGGCGTGTCTGTGTGTGTGTATGGGTGGCGTGTCTGTGTGTGTGTATGGGTGGCGTGTCTGTGTGTGTGTATGGGTGGCGTGTCTGTGTGTGTGTATGGGTGGCGTGTCTGTGTGTGTGTATGGGTGGCGTGTCTGTGTGTGTGTATGGGTGGCGTGTCTGTGTGTGTGTATGGGTGGCGTGTCTGTGTGTGTGTATGGGTGGCGTGTCTGTGTGTGTGTATGGGTGGCGTGTCTGTGTGTGTGTATGGGTGGCGTGTCTGTGTGTGTGTATGGGTGGCGTGTCTGTGTGTGTGTATGGGTGGCGTGTCTGTGTGTGTGTATGGGTGGCGTGTCTGTGTGTGTGTATGGGTGGCGTGTCTGTGTGTGTGTATGGGTGGCGTGTCTGTGTGTGTGTATGGGTGGCGTGTCTGTGTGTGTGTATGGGTGGCGTGTCTGTGTGTGTGTATGGGTGGCGTGTCTGTGTGTGTGTATGGGTGGCGTGTCTGTGTGTGTGTATGGGTGGCCTGTCTGTGAGTGAGTATGGGTGGTGTGTCTGTGTGTGTATGGATGTGTGTATGTATAGATGTGTCTGTGTGAGTATGGGTGGCGTGTCTGTGAGTGAGTATGGGTGGCGTGTCTGTGTGTGTGTATGGGTGGCGTGTCTGTGTGTGTGTATGGGTGGCGTGTCTGTGTGTGTGTATGGGTGGCGTGTCTGTGTGTGTGTATGGGTGGCGTGTCTGTGTGTGTGTATGGGTGGCGTGTCTGTGTGTGTGTATGGGTGGCGTGTCTGTGTGTGTGTATGGGTGGCGTGTCTGTGTGTGTGTATGGGTGGCGTGTCTGTGTGTGAGTATGGGTGGCGTGTCTGTGTGTGAGTATGGGTGGCGTGTCTGTGTGTGTGTATGGGTGGTGTGTCTGTGTGTGTGTATGGGTGGCGTGTCTGTGTGTGTGT